CAGGCAGTGGATTAAGGATGCTGAAATTTGTGGATACTGACATTTATACTGAAAGTGCCTCAAGAAATACTTTTCTTTTGATTTTTTTCCCCTCAACCATCTGAAATTGTAAATGCCACCCTCTACTCCTGGTCTAGATAAAAATAGATGGAAGGCCCAGTGTGGTGGCACACACCTGTAATCCCAGCACCCAGGAGGCTAAGGCAGGAGGATCAATGTGAGTTCAAGGCCAGCCTATACTGCATAGCAGGACCCTAAACAAACAAAAACAGGTGGAGAACAAGCTACTTAGGAGGCTGAGGCAGGAGGATGGGAAGTTCAGGGCCACCTGGGCAACTTAGTGAGATCCTGTCTCAAAATAAAAATAATAAAAAGGGGCTGGGGATGGTACAACACTTGCCAGCATGTATGAAGATCTAGGTTCAATACACAGTACCACACACACACACACAAGGATAAAGTTTTCTTTGCTTTTCACTGAGTCATGATCACCCATCCCCAAATCAAGTGTTGGGGGCTGGACAGAATGGAGAGGGTCTCTTTGGGGGTGCTGCCTCAGTCCTGGGGGAGAATTTTTGAGCTATTTGAGAATAGCTACTGAGTCTGATCAATTTTTTTTTTTTTTTTTTTTAGTACCAGGGATTGAATTTACAACCTTGTGCTTGCAAGGCAGGTGCTGTGCCACTGAGCTAAATCCCCAGCCCCTGATCTTGTGATCTTTAAAATTCTCTGCATTAATTTCTAGCATTTCTTAACAAATACCATGACGTTTGCCATCTTAAAAGATCAAACACTTCTGGGCCGAGGGTTTAGCTTGGTGGCACTGCACCTGCCTTGTAAGTGCAAGATCCCGAGTTTGATCCCTGGTACTGGGGTGAGGGGAGAGAAAACACTTTTTACCTGTTTCCACAGGTCAGGAGTCAAGACTTATTAACTGAGCCTTTGTTCAGGGCAGGGCTCAGAGTTCTCATCCAGCCCTGCTGGTTACTAGCAAAATTCAGTTCCTGTGGTTGTGGGACCCAGGCCCTCTGCTCCTAGGATTCACCTGTTCCCAGACACCTGATCCTCCCCACAACCTGCTAAGTGTTCTCCAGGGCCATGAGGAGAGCACTTCTGCTATTTTTGCCCATCTTTTAGTTATTTTTACAGTGCCAGGGATTGAACACAGGCTTTGCACATGCTTACCAAGCATTCTGCCACTGAACTACAAGCACATTATGCCTTGTCTGTGCACATCCTTTTTTTTTTTTTTTTTTTTTTTTATTGTCTTTTTTTTTTTTTTTTTTTTTTGTACTGGGGATCGAACTTGGGTCCTTGCACTTGCAAGGCAGGTGGCAGAACTACTGAGCTAAATCCCCAGCCCGTGCACAACCTTTTAAGAGGCTCACCTACCTGGTCAAGTCAGGCCCACCCCAAGTAATCTTTTAATTCAAAACCAGATTATTACAGATCTTAATTACATCTGCACAATCCTTTCACTTTTGCCATAAAATCTTGGGAGTTATAGACCATCACATTCACAGGTACAGCCACACTCCAGGGCTTATACAGGGCATGTGCATCAAGGGTAGGAAATCCTGGAATCCTACCATAGAATGGGCAAAAACCATAGGTAACGGCTTAGATCTAGTTTTCCTACTTTTAAAAATGTTTCTTCTTTTTTTTTTTTTTCTGGCACCAGAGATCAAACTCAGGATCTTGCACTTATGAGGCAGGCATGATGCCACAGTGTTTTTTAAAAAAATTATCAAAAGGCTGCTGCAGATGTACTCAGTAGTAGAGTGCTTGTCTAGTATGCATGAGGCCATGGCTTTGACTCTAGTATCTCAAAAATAGAAGAAAAAATATTTCAAGAATATTTAACTTGGTTCCGCCACCTGCCTTGGAAGTGCAAGGACCTGAGTTCCATCCCCAGTACCCTCCCAAAAATTTTGTTTTCAAGAATCTTTAACTTCACAGTGATGTTCTAAGCAACTGAAAGTAAAATGCACTTGCACTATAATTATTCATTAAGCTATGTACTGAACACTGCTGTACCTCAAGATAAAAGTATTTTTCTAAAATGCCAACTTTTGTCTAAAACAGAATCTTAAGATTCATTGGGAATAGAATTCATTTTTCTATAGAAACTGGCTTCATTTGGGGTTTGGTTTTGTTTTGTTTTAGTTAAGGGGGTTGCTGTCTTGCCCAGACTGGCATTGAACTACTGGACTCAGCCTCCTGAACGAAAGGAACCACTGCCTCCGCTCCCAAGTGCTGGGACAATAGGAATGCACCACTCTGGGGTTCTGGCACACAACTGCAATCCCAGCAACGTGGGAGGCCCAAGAGGAGGAGTAAAAGCTTGAGGCCAGCCCAGGCAATTTTGCAAGATCCTGATTCAAATAAAGAAAAATAGGGGTGGGAGGAGCAAGTGGTACTGTAGACATAGCTCAGTGGGAGAGGGACTCTGGACTTGATCCCCAGTACCATGCTCCCCACCAGAATATATCTCTACCACCACACCCAGCTTGTACGGAAGTTCTGTATCACTGGGGGTGAACCTACAGCACACGTGCGGCAGCAGGCTATTTGTATCTGTTATGTCTGTGTTGAGATGTCCCCCCAAGCCTCATGCAAGCACAGGAGGGGCTTTTGCAGAGGTGGCTGAATCTAGAGTGTGTGATTAATTCATGGTGTAATGCTAAATTCAAGAGTACTAGGATTAAGGGTATGACTGCCACCTGCTCTAAGTAGTCTGGCTAAAAGGGGCAGAAAGACACTGCTAAGGTCTCGTTGCTTTTGCTGTCTTCTGCCACCATGAACTGTTACCCTTCTGCCATGTGCCACCCTGCCTTGGAGCCAGCTGATTATGGACTGAAACCTCTACAAACTGAGCTAAATAACGTTTTCCCCCTTTAACTTTGAGTGCGAGGTATTTTATCTCAGCAATGAGAAAAGTACCTAAAACAGTATTATTGAAATCCCTAAGGGACTGAGGATGTTGCTCAGTGGGCTTGCACTCTCACCTGCCTGGCAAGCACAAGGTCCTGAGACAAATTCCCAGTATCAGGAAAAAAAAAAAAAAAAAAAAAAA